AAGGACCTCAGTGTCCCTCTAAGAGTCTCCTCCTGTCACCTTGGCCCAGCAGCCCAATGGAGGCCAGGCACTCTCCTCCCTTCTCCCTTGGGGCTCAGCCTGTAATTCGGGAGTGCTGTAATTGTCTGTGTTGATCTCACAGAATCTTTGTTTAAAAAATTTCTCCAGCCAGTTTAGGAATGCCTTTCTGTGTCCCAGCTCACGCGCTTTCTGCAGGTTGGAGTCATTAGTGCACACCTACAGAGGTGCGTTGTGTCCTACCACCCTGCTTCATATGGAAAATACTAACCAGTATCAGCCGGGTGTTCATTAAATCTTGAGTTTATCTAAAAGCAGTTTTCTCTGCATCTACATTTTCAAGAGGAACATGACTTTCTAGAGTGCATCAAAGAAACTTATATGAGGGTGAAGAAAAATCTCATTGTTTTAAGCTGTGAATTCTTGGGAGCTTATTCTGTTTCTAATTATGTGCTTGTGTAGTCCCTGAGTTTCTGCATGACCCCAATTCTTGTTTGGTTTTCTATTAGTACCATAATATTTCAACGGTGACCTACAGAAGAAAAGAGGAAAGGGCTTTCTCTCCTTTGTTACTTTTTAACTTCATACATGTAGAGAAGTCCCCAGACTGTGGTTTGGTGGGTAGAATTTTTATTGACTTGGTTTTGGTGATTCCTTCCCCCCATGTGTTACATATGTTTTTATCCTCTGCTTTAGGCGGCCCTGTGGCTAATGGCAGGCAGCTTGGTAGGATTCAGGCACTTGTCAGGCAGCAAGAAGACAGTTGAAGAGATAATTGATTTTTGGTTGTAAAGGTGCCAGCTTTCATTTAGCATACCTTTCTTTCTGAACCTGAGCACTTAGCACAGTTCTCCCTCCTAGATCTCCAAGTAAGGCTGGGGAAACCATTTCAGCAATATTTTTCAGAGAACAAATAAAACTTCCTGTAAGAATGGGCTTTCTCTTGCTGATAGTTGACTATATAAATAAACCTAAGGGAATACAGTCTATTCAAGATGTTCTTCATGCATTTTAAACTAGCAAAGCAAGCCAACCAAAAAGGATCAAATGCAATTTTTTTCATTTTCAGGTCACCTTTGACGGCTGTATAGATCAAGACAAGGATTTTTCATTCTTTTAGGAAGCAAGTAGAGGTGGTGGAATTTGCAAAGCTCAGGTGTGTGATGGGTTGTGTCAACCTGTGGTACTCCCCCTTTCAATCTTCATTTGGCAGTCGCTGCGGTCCTTACATAGACTGCTCCATTAGCTATGGTTTATCTGCTATATCTTGACACAAATACATCTTTCCCTTGCTGCGTGACTGTTTTGAGAAAATACTGGTTGCCACCACTTACAAAGTGTTAAGGTACTTGTTTTTTCTTCTTCAGTTAGATGAAGTGAGTGATCAACAGGGGAGATAAATATGTGCTTCCAGTATTTTAAGAATCTTTTTAAAAAATGGTGTTTCCTTCATGTGGAATTGATTGGTGTGTGTTTTCAACTTAGGAATCACAACCAGTGACTACTGTTTTATGTCAGTTAGTACCATAGGAAACATTATTCGTTTGGCAAAGCAGAGAAATTATACCGGGGTTAAATCAGAATAAATGGAAGTTAATCCAGCATTTGAACTTCAGGTTTACCTGACAGACTTACAGGAGCTGCCTCCTTGTTCTCTGCAGCTTCCTGAGGAGGGGAAGTGAAGCAGGAGGTGCTGGGCTCTTCTCCCTGGTGTCCAGTGACAGGACGCGTGGGAATCGTTGAAAGCTGCTCCAGAGGAGGTTCAGAGTAGGTATGAGGAGACATTTCTTTACCAGGAGAGTGGTCAAACACTGGAACAGGCTTCCTGGAGAGGTGGTCAATACTCCAAGCCTTGTCAGTGTCTAAGAGGCATTTGGACAATGCCCTTGATAACATGAAGTGGCCAGGCAGCTGGACTAGATGATCATTGTAGATCCCTTCCAACTGAACTATTTGTTCTGTTCTATTCTATAGTAATCATACCTGCAGTTGGACCAGTTTGGGTTTTTTTCTCCCTTACTCCCTTACTGTGGGCAAAGCAGCTTGATACTTAGATTAGTAACTTAGATTCCTATCATAACACAGTCCTAAACCAATTAATTCCTTTCCTCCTCCTTGGTGTGCACTGATACTTCTGAGTCCAGACGGGATATGGAGCATGTGGCATTGTACAGTTGAAATTACTGTGATCAGCCTTGGTCCTACACTGAGAGATCCATAGTTAAGTTTCTTTGATGAGTTCGGATCCTGAAATGATACACAGTTTTTTATCCACCGCACAAGACAGGCAGAGCTGCAGTCATAGGTGCTGAGAGAGCAAATGCCCCCTCTGGTTTTATTCAGCTTCCTAGCAAGACTTCAGAACTCATGGCTCTTACTTTCCTGTTCTTGAGTCAGCAAGCAGTATGTGGCCAAGCCCAAACCTCTTTTTTTTGGCTTTAGCTAGAATGCTGTGAAATCTTCAGCTCAGTTTTTGGAGGCTTTCTTCTCATTTATTGGCGAGTGGTTTTGACCTCACTTTCTACACCTTCAAGGTGTTCAAGACTTCAGAGCTTTCACTTGTAGCCTTCATTGCTCCACAAGACAAGACTAACTTTTCTTGATACACGTACTGTGCTCCTGCTTGCAACAACTGTCTAGACAATTTACATGAAAGGGAAGAAGAGGATGGCAATATTTTTTGTGCTCAGAGGAACATTTGGAAAGCTGGTGTGATTTCCAGCCCTCCAACAGCCTTGCCGGTGTGACATTATCTGAGGCAAAGGATTGTTGAAATTCAGCCTGATTTTCACAGAAGTTGCACAAAATTTAGACCGGTCTTTGTTCACAAATCCGCATGAAAACTGCCAGGCCCAGGAACTCTGGGCCAATAATACTGCCAGTCCATGTCCTACCTCCATATTTTTATTTTGTGATTGTGTGGGATGGGGATAAAACAGCAGCTTGTTCTTGCTTCTGAAGAGAGATGAGTTTAATGCTTGCTGTGTTTATTCTCCCAGAGGGGCCTGCCTCTGGCTGCTTGGGTACAGAGAAAGAGCGATAGTTTCCTGCCTAGGCTAGAGTCTCATTTAATGGTCTGCACAAGTATTTCCCAGAGTCTTGTTAGTTATTTTTAAACCTTCTTTGAAGTGTTTACACTTAAGAACAATCAGTGTGAAACTCACCATTATTTGAGTTGTGATAAACCTAGAACACCACATTCCAACATTGGGACTATCAGCTGTTATTTCATTGGGAATTATTGTAGTTCAGGTTGTGCGGTTCTTATTTCTGAACGTGGTACTAACATGAGCCACGGATTAAAAATTACTGGATTATTTTTGCCTGTAGTATAGAAGTTATTAATGTTTGGTTTTATTTAACATGAAGCTAACCTTCCTTTTAATGGAATCAGTATATTTGTCTTTGTGAGTGGTTTGTCTTCAGCCAAAATAAATATTGAGGAGAAAGACATTTCTGTAGCTAGGTGTTTGAAGCATAAAAAAATCAATCTGCCCCGGAGGTGTGAAAATAACAGACTTGTGTAATTTCAGTAAAAAAAGCAAAGTTACAACATTGATATTTTTTCCTTATCAAAACCTTGAAATTTCACAAAGCTTCTGTGAACTGCTGTGATTTCTGGTGTAATTCTTCATAAGAGAGGAAAGTAGAGACAGAATAAATTGCTTGCAACTCCAAGGAATGTATTTGTATGAACTGCCGTAATGTTTTATTTCCACTGTGGTAGAGATTTCTCAGATTGTAAGGATGGATTCCTTGGCAGGAATTGTAAGGCAGGATTCCTCACCTAAGGGAGTCGAGCAAGTCTCATGCAAATAAAAGCACCTTCAGAATAATTGTTCCATTTCTTTTTCTCTCTCTCCTTTTTTTGTGAGATTTATTTACCTCAAGGGTCGTAAGTTGTCAGACTTTCGATCTATACCCTTCTATGCCTGTGATAAATAAATTTTTGCCTTGGTTTAGGACATACTTAGTAAATAAATACCAACACTACTATCCAGCAAATGATTTTTCACGTTTATTTAGCCGCAGTAGCACCATGTTAGTGGAATGATAAGTAGTCATGCAGATATTCTCCTTTTTCTGAAGGCATGAATGCTTTAAGAGGGAGGAAGGAAGAGGGTTTTTTTTCTCCTAGGATCTTGTTCTGTAGTACCTAGTTTGTTATTTTAAAATAAATATATACAAAAAAGATAGAAAACCACTTATTTCAGGGAAGTCCAAATACTGTTGTATTACCTTGTGCGACAGGAGCATTTACATGGGGTTGCTTCAACTCAGATTGCAGCCTTGTGTAGGACATTGCACAGAAACTCTCAAAGATTTGAGCTAAATTTACACCAGGGAGTGTTTATTGCTACTCTTCTGTAGATACAACGTGCACTGGCAAGAGCGTACGTAAACTTTGTTGGGAAGCACACATTTTTGTCAGCGTAGTTGCATCTATTCAAGATCTTTTTCCGTTAGTTTAAAAAGGGGAGGGGAGTATGCATCAATGTTTCCCAGATGTTTTTAGTTGGGGGTTAAGTCTTCATTCTTACCTTGAAAAAACTTGGCTATGGAGCCATGGAAGGCAGGACAGTACAGGATCTGGAGGTCTCCCATCAAACAGGAGAGCCAAAAGAAGAATGAAACCCAGGGTTTTGGCCTGCTGTCCTCAGCGGCACTTGGGCAACAGTTGAACCCGGGGACAAAAGGGTATTTTCCTGACACACCACTGCTTTGTGGCTTTGGATTTTGAGGTTTCCTCTCTGGAAGAGTGAAACTTTGCTGGCAGACTGATAAGCTTTCCCCCATGAAAGACAGTAAGTTGGTAAATGTGCAATTAAACACTTTTGCAAACATGTAGAAGTTTAGCAAATAAATATAGCAATATTTCCTTTTAAGAGGTTTTTATCTGTTCAATTTTACTGTAATTAGTTTACTGCATCAACAAAATCTTGAAATGGAACTGCTTTTAAATGTGGATTTTCTTTTTTTAGCACTGGTTGGACCATTCAAAATTCATTAAGAAGCAAATAAAAAGTAAGTACCACATCTCTGCCTGTTTATTTTGTTACTTCCTTAAGAATTTGAACTTGGAGTATTTGAACGTGATTGTGAATGGTTAAATATGGCCTTTAATGGAATAAATTATTTCTTAGGAAATAATTTAATGGCTAATTGGCTGACTATATTATGTCTAAATGCAAGAGCACTGATAAGCAATAGACCGGCCTTCAGCAGCCCTGGTTAAACATCTGCTGTTTGTGTGAGGCAGAGTAGGTTGCCAGGTAGTTTCGGGCTGATCTTTGAAATCAGGTTGCCTGGACACAGATCACGGTGTCTGTCGCTGCTTCTGATCCAGAACAGATTTCGTGGGTTTCTTTCAAATAGTAATTGGAAAATATTTCATTGTGTAACCGTTAGCCTCTTTTTTCTTTTTTTATATTATAAATAAAACTAGCAGAAATACCTGCTGTTTCATCAATGGGAGTTTTGGGTGGAGGGTTTGGGTTTGGCCACTTGAGTTTTTTGTGGAAATTGGCTAAAATGAGGCGGGTTGCTCCTGGATCTCTAATAATCTAGTTGCAGGCTTGGGTAGAGTACAGCATTGGCACTGACATGTTTTGTTGATATATGGCAGTTGGCAACAGCCATGGGCCAACTGATAATACAGCTTCTGTGAGATTAAAATAGAGTGTTTTGCAAGGAAATTGTTGACCCCCTTGCAGGATCTCACAGAGATGCATCTTGATTGCTTCAGTGGTGCTTCGCCTTTCTTTCTGATAAGTATCCAAATACCTAGACAATTTCTGTAAATGGTGGAGTTGTTCTTCTTCAGAGGCCTTTAGGAGAGTTTACTTTAGCCCCACGGTGTGTGGGTGTCAGTCTGCTAGAATAGAAGGTAAAGATGGCTGCTATGGGTAAGGTTTTGGTGGTTGGCTTTCTCTCACCTTTTCATCGCGTCAGACTGCTTTACCTGAAGTGGCTAAGGGATTTGCAGGTGCGCTGCCTGTGATAGCTTTGTCCATTTCTTGATCTGTCTTAAAATGTGGAAAATCAATGATTCTGTAACACCTTCAACCAGTTTAGCTGCACTGTTTTGTCTGTGTTTAATCTGTGAAGTGCCAAAAAGATACTGGCCAAGCCCTGCCTTTAGGAGCGCCGAAGAGGGAAGCAATTTGATGAGTGTTGCAAAGGTCTGTCTCAGCTTTGAGAAGAGTTCCTCCTTTTCATGATGGATGTTGCTTGCTGCTCTTTTTTGCCCCAGCAGTGGGCAAGTGAGAGTCGTTATCTCGCTGATGCAGACCTTATCAGTGGTGCCTACCTGTCAGCCGAGGGCACTATAACCTGTCTTCTCAGAGCTATCGTTGGAGACAACATCAAGCCTGAATTATTAGAGGTTTTGCTGCACATCGTTTAGTAGAATGGATCATTAATAGGCACGTATATACTGTGTTGATGTGGTGTTACAGAAGACCTTAGAAAGGTGTGAAAAAGTCTTTTTTCCAGCACTTAATATTCCAGCAGGCTGTTGGTCTGGAAGATGAGGCTTAGGCAGGAAGGGATGCATTGGTCACAGTCTTGTGATAGCTGGGTAACGTTTTATTTTCTGAGTTACAGAGAAAGCCAGAACTTCTGGCATTAGAAAACAACAGTTCTTGCAACTCCATGTCATCTGTTAGCTTTCTCTGTTCATGGGTGCCTTCCAGAGTCCTCTCCAGCACTTTTCACATTATTTATCTTACCTTTTCTCATTCACATGTATCAATTGAAAGCTGACCTGTTGCGTGGGGGGTTTTTTGGAGTCATGTTTGTGCCTGGTAACAAGAAGCATCACCCTCTCCCTCCCTCTCCCTTCCATCTCCCCCTGCCCCCAGCAACAGGCTGTGTACCTGGAACTCGCTGTCATTCACAGCGTGCTGCGGGGCACACCTCTTTGAACAAAAATGTCTTTGCCAAGTGGAGTGTTGCTTGATTAATCTAATGATTACAGTATCATAAAGTATGGTAATCATCTAACTTTGTTTTATTGCATGCATTTTTAAATTTAAAAACATGAAATATTTGCTTCTTTGGATATGAAAAACATAGTTTGTGTTGGGTTTTGTGGGCTGTGGGGTGGTGGCTGTTGTTCTGCCTTAGAACCACAACTAGTGTCAACTTTTTTTTTTTCCCCATTTAAAATCTCTGCATATGCAGTTGGACCTCCGTACACATTGCATTTTCGAATTAAGTACTACTCATCAGAACCGAACAACCTTCATGAGGAGTTTACAAGGTAGGAACTACACATGGTTAACAGGGTGACTGGCAGAGGGGTAAATAAGACATCTGAGGTACATGGGGGTACTGTAAGCGGGTGATTTGAGCTTTCTTAGTAGGAGTGGTCATTTTGTCTGACTCTTAGGTGTTTTCCTACTGTCAGAGAAACACCATCTTTTTCATTTGCTGCCAGGAGCCACTCATGGGCCTCTCCAAGTGTTTTAGTCTGTAGGAGATGCTGTGTTCTGGTGCTTTGAAGTTAGCAAAGAAAGGCAGCATTGGGTGGGGAGGGCTGCACCTGCCATACCCGTGAGAGGGCTTTTCCATCGTGTCCTGCTAAAATGCCAGTGCTCTGCTTTGTCCCCCTTGCTCTGAGACTTGGGCGTGATTTAAAAAGGGTGAAAAAGCCACAGAAATGTGGGAATAGACAGCTTTCTGAGTGCTCGGTTAACAGCTGGTTGACTGAATCTCTTCCGCTTCCCCACGAGTTCTCTGTGGTGCAAAAGGTGTAAGGACTGTGTTGCATAAAGTCACTTGAAAATGTCTGGAGGTCTTTTGTTTCAGCCTGGTGGGCTCTTTTCTGGGCTGAGAGGACTATACCTTACTGGGTTCATAGCACCCTGGTGTGATCTAGAAGATATTCTGAAAATTGGGAGTGGAGCAGCTGGAGGAAAAGGGTTTACTTTTCTTTTGAATCTGCGAACTTTGTGTCTTCTTCGTATAGTAATCACCTATCTTAATGTTATTTTATCTTCTTTGGTGGTTGTTGTTGTTCTGTTTCTTACCACAGGGCACTTTCTGTGTCTTCCAATTTGCTTGGCAATAGTCAGTGTACTCCCAGTCAGCCTAAGGTGTTTAAAGATTGTTGATTGTTGCAGCTTGGGTGCATGGGATGTTTACACTAAACTTATGCCTGCAGGCATATCTTTACTTTCTCCTTCCATATCTGCTGTGTTGACCATGTGTTGTTTTTTTTTTCACTGCCTGACACAAGATCAAAGAGCTAATTGTCACCACCTTATGAGACTGACATGGAGGTTTTAATATACATTATCAATTTAGTGCAACAGTGTTAATTCAATAAAAGGGCATATTCCTGTACAATGTATAATTAACCTATAGAACTCCCTGCCACTTACGTAATTGAGTATAAGATCTTAAAGAATCCAAAAACCTGGATGATTTTGGGGCATCTCTAGTGAGAAAATGCAGTTAAATTAGTAGGAATAATATATATTTTCTGAAAACTGATGTAGGTCTTCATGCATCAGGGTGCATGTCTGACAAGTGTTACGTTTCCGCTTTGGTCAAATTATTCCATTACTGTCTACCACAAGATTTCTTGCTTAACGCTTGGAAGCGTATGATCCCAGTCACTGTGAGATGTGTGTTTGTGAGCTATGTGATCATTGCTGTGATTGAGTAAGACATTTCTTCTGAAAGTATTAACCTCTGATGCTTTGTGATCTAATTATTGCTGAAAGGTGGCATTTCAGAAGACTGTTTTAATTAGAAAAGCACTTTAGTCAGCTAAATTTTCAGTGTTATGAAGAATTTTTTTTAATTATAAGCTTGACAGAAGACCACTGTGAAACTGTGGAAGGAAAATGAAAATGAGCTGGAAATTGATTTTACAGTGAACAAATAGGTGCATTTTTCTTTTTTGTTGGTGAAAGTAATTGTGAATGTTGCTGGTTTTTTAAGCATCTTTGTGCTGGCTGGATTGTATTTTCCATGTAGCATGTTGAGTAAAAAGTGAAGATTAGCAACTATGTACTCAGAATTATTCCAATTGGAAATGGAATGGGAGTAAGAGAAGGAAGAAAAATGATCATTAACAGTAACCGTGAACTGGCCTGGTTGGGGGGCTGTTTGAAATTTCTTGTGGAGATCTGTTTTCTAGTACACTCCAGTTTCTCATAATTAGCACAGTAATGGGAAAGTGTTGAAAACCCTTCACGCACTGTCTTTTTCCGATTTAAAAACACAGTTGAAATCCAGTGCCTTTTGGAAGACATCTTCTGTCACTTTCATGGGACCTGAGCAGTTAGCTTAGTTAGAAAAACAGCAGAGGTATGTGTCTGTACATGTGTGTCGTGGAGAATTTTCTAAGGTATTTTGCTGATTTGGAATATCAAGAATAGAGATGCTGGTGTTTGTCAGTCTGCGTGCAGAAAAGGAGCAAGAGTAAGCCGCGCCAGCCGGAGCAGAGCTGCAGCCCTGCACAGGCTGTCTGGCACTGACAGAAGCACTGCCCAGATTTTTCTTGCAAATCTAGAAAAGTTCGTGGGATTGTGAATCATCAGGGGAAACAATAAGAACAGGGTATCTACTTGTCTACCCTTAATATATGCACGCAGATACCCAGGTTTGAGTGGCAAGTCAGGTATTATCCGAGTGTGTGAGTCAGGGATGTGACACAGAGCCAAGGTGGATAAATCTGATTCTGCTTTACTGTATCATGAGAAGTGTTTTTAATCTTCCTTTTCATTTCTGTTCTCCTGTCTAATTCCAGCTATTCATCCTTCACCACGTTCACAGCACATCCTCTGTGATGAAAAACACTGTGTCGTTCTAGCAGCCTTTGAAAAGATAGGAGAGGTTTACGTTCGCGCGTGCTGGGTTGACTCTCAGTAGTGCTTCACGCTTCCTTCTCTTCAGTCGCCCATCGTTGCCAACTTCCCCCCTCAGTGTCCAGAGCAGTGCAGAGCCTGCCTGTGCCATACTGTCCTCTGCAGAGCTCTTGCAGGGCCTGGGGCACTTCTGTGTGCCTCAAACCCCAACTCTTGAACGGCTGTAAAACACGACGCGTGCCTAGAACTGAAGATTGGCAAGAGCTTAAAATACTACTGCACTTTGAAGGCTGTAGATTGCTACTTGGCCTCCTAAATAAATGTGTTGGCTCTATGGAATTCGGATTTCTTTTGTTCAGAACTCTTCTGCTATTTTAAGTCAAAATTCAATCTATGTTTTTCCTTTTGCCCAGTTTGGACTTTTTCTATGTTCTATATTTCTGTCTTAAGAAGGTAGCTCTGAAGTCCTCATGCCTTTATCTGCATTCCGTCTTTAGATCCTATAGCTCAATTCTTGCTTGAATTGGGCAAGACCCAGCTTGGAGTGTCGATAACATTTAGGTTACTGTGGTATGCTCAGACAGAGCACATCCCTAAACAGCAAGGCTTTGTCCTGAACACAGCCAGTAGGTGAAAAATGTTCTCTTCTTTTTGATTTTAGTGAAAGCTATGGGAACCTTGAAGGTTGCAGGGTGTATCTGAGTGATCTCAAAGGCCCTGTTTTTTTAATGTTGGGACTACTTAATGAATGAATTGGGATATTTTTCCAGCCATTGGGGCTAGCAAGTTGCGATATATAAACTTTTGACTTTCTGAATTTTTATTTGTCAGGTACCTGTTTGTATTACAGCTCCGGCAAGACATTCTTTCAGGGAAGTAAGTACCTCTTTGCTCTTGCAGCTGTAATTTAAAGTATTTCTAATAGTTAATCTCTTAGTGATTAAAAATTTTGCTTTAACTACATGAACTTTTTAATTCTTTATGGTATTCATGCATGTATTATAAACATGATTTACAGTTCCACATGCATTTTTTTTCCTTTAGAAGATAGAGATCTATGGCTTTGTGTGCATCATGACTATATCATTGACAAATAGAATCCATCCTTTGATGGATTGACCAAATGATGGAAATGTATAGAGAGAGCAAAGACTGTCTTCTGATTTTTATGACTTGAAAATGTAGTATGGACTTGCCATATTTTTCAGTATGGTAGGTAAAATAGAGGAGGAAAAGATGATGAAGTGCAACACTGTCTGTACAGGTCAACCCTGCAAGAATATTTTGTGTGTTTATAGTCTCACCCTGGCCAATAAATTCAAACCTGCTCTATTTATTTTTTTTTTGATTAAAAAACCAAAAAAACCCAAGAAACCCAAACCCACGTGTTCTAAAATATAGTGTTGGAACAAAAATGATTTCTTAGTCGATTTAGTGTTGTCTATATCAGTTCAGGCTTGTTTTATGGTGGAGCATATCATATGTTTAGTGCTGAGTAGAATGTACCAAATTAGGAAATAATCATATGCAAGTAAAAATTAATTGTAGATGTTTCATATCATTAATAGCTTATGGTTTAAGGGATCTTGTGGTAGTTAATGTTTCCATTTCATGTATTGGGCTACTTTTTAGCTTTATTGCAAGAAGAACTCACTGAGAAAAAAAGACATTATTTTTATAGCTTTGTTTTTTTTCTTTTTAAGACTGAAATGCCCGTATGAAACTGCTGTTGAACTAGCAGCTCTCTGTCTTCAAGGTATGCAATCTTTTGAAAGTGATTTGCCTTAATGTATTAAAAAAATTAACCTACTAGTTTCTTTTCACTCCCTGTTACTAACAATTTCTCACTGATCATATATGAATGCCATTCCTTTACCTGAGGAGAAGAATTTTAGCAAGGTCACTTCCTTGCCTTCCCTCCACTTATAACTTCTGAACTACATTAGCCAACATGGGCACACTTGCCGAGGGGAAGGAGCCTCCAAGGCGTGGATAGGCAAAGATTTCACAGAACACATGGGCTGACTAGGGAGGAAAGACGGAAAGACCCCAAATAGTTCCCCACTGGGGGAGAAGCTGTGGTGTGTGCACGCCGTTACCTCTTCAGGCTGAAGAGCCCGCTGGCCCATCAGCACGTGCTTTGGGGCGGGCAGGTCCCTGCGGGTGTAGCTTTGAGCATGGGCTGCCTGCTGCCCGGCCGGTGCTTGGGAGAGCGAGCCCCGGCCAGCCCCCACCGAGTGCGAGACAGGAGGTGGTTACGGGGCGGGAGGGAGCGGGTGGCACGTTCTGGAGAGCAGAGAGTATTACACGGAAAGATGAGAACTAAGTTTAATTCTGTGTCAGGGCCAAGGGTTACAAGATTAAAAAAAAGAAACTTGGACACTACATTTCATTAGTTTATTGTAGGAAAAAGTATTTTTTCTTGCTGTGAACACATTAATACAAATGCTCATTCCGTTTCAGGCGGTTTGTTTTGCAGATGGGGTAATGAAGCTCAAATCAAGTTCATTTTTTTCTAAAAGAAAGTGCAGTGATCTGTATCATTCTAGGCATATCGGCAGCAAAATTAATTGAAATGAATACTACTCTTCCTGCTCCCCTGGTGGTTGGCAATAGTAGCATGGATTGCTTCGGCAGAGTCTCTTAGTTTAATGCGAGAATGGAGATAACTCAGTGATTCTGGATGGACTTGACAGTCAAAACTGGGAATTCAGTTCAATCCAAACAGCAACAAGTGTAAATCTTAAGGCAGTGGGTTATTTTTCAGTTTCCACCTGCACCAGTCTGGCACAGTCCTGACTGTTAGGTGTGCAAAGAACTGCTGCAGGCAAGCTCCGTTTGAGATCTCCATTTCTGAGATGGAGAAAATCTGGAGCCCGTATTTGATTTGCTGCTTCCATTTTCACAGATAAAAACACCAGTAACCTCACCCACCCCTGGCCTAAGCAAGGAGAACCAGCAAAGAATAATAGGTTGATGCCTCAACATTTTGGGTAGTAATTAAAACCTGTGATGACTATGTAAATGTAAAACAATAGCCATCCATTGTGTTTATAATGTCTCCAATTAGGTACCAAAACTAATGCTTCTTGACACTGTCTGTGGGAACGTGTTTAAATTGTGGTAGCATTTTCATACTTTTCTGCTGTCTTTTTTTCAGTTTCAGTTTTCTGCTATTTTGACATCATCGCAATGAGTTTCTCAATTTATTTCATTATTGCAACTAATTTATTTATCTCTGCTGGCATATGCTATAATTAGCATTTTTTATAACATTTCTTACATTTTATTGACATTGGAAGCTTTTAATTAAGTGGAAGAGCTTAAAGAAATGTCGAATAATTATTCCCTCCTCAGCAGGTTACAGGTACTCTGTGAAATCCAGTCTTGCTCTTTAGTGTTGCTTTCCTAAGAGTGAGGAAGAAGTTATAAAAGACTGTTGAGGAGTTGATGCTCTAACCCTCTGAAAGAAAGGCCTTTTCTTTTTACAGGGCAGCTTTAAACTTCACACGTTTTCTTCATCAATGAAGTTGTTCTGTTACAGTAATTATTCCTCTGTTTCAAAGAACAGTTTCATAGGCTGTTGTTGCCAGTCCCAGGAAGGAATTTCTGTAGCAAGTAACATCGATTTGCAGTGTGGGTAACTTGTGAAGCAGATGCATCATCACAGGCTTCACTTGGGGATTATCTACAGAAAGGTTGAAACCAAACTCGAATCGTCACCACTAGAATAAGGTTTTAACTACCTCATTAGTCTTGCATGGCTTTCGTATTTAACCAGGTATAGTTCTGAAACTGCTAACTAAACTGAAAAGGAAAACTTTTTCTCAGATCTCCAGTTTTCAGTTCTAACTGTAAAACATCTTCATGGAATTGTGCAAACTTTTTTTTCCTTCTGTGTAGAAGAATGAACAATGTATTTACAGATAAATGCATTTTTGCAGTTTTCAAAAACTTTCTAGGAAACTTCTTTTTAAAAATGTCCCCCAGTTTATGCAGTTATTTATTAATCAACACAGATAATGTATATAAATGTATTATGTAACATGCACACCACACCTCCCACCCACCCCCAAAAAAGGCCAAAGGACAGGCATGCCAAAGCATGCTACTTTGTCATAAAACCTGAAAAGAAGAGATGGGTCCTTTGCTGTGCCCTCATGTTGAAAAATATTAGTGCTGCTGAGCCATTCAGGGAATGTAATTCCACCAGGAAAGGCACTAGTGAGAGCATCCTCGTATGGAGCCCACGCTTCCCCCTTCTTCCGCTGCCTTGCTACCCTGGGCAGGGACCTGATGAGGCTCTTACTCTCAAGACCTATTTCTCAGAGATCAAAATTATGACATCATTTGTTTGCCTGAAAGTGAATAAATAGTAAGTGCAGCTATTGAGAACAAGGGTGATTTTTTTTTTACCTAATACTTGTGTTCTAGCTTCTCTGTGTATCTTTTGTCCTACGTGCTCATGATGTTTCTCATCCTTACACATCCTCTTTACAGCATGGTCAGCCTTCATTCCTCGCCTTCTCTCTCAGTTAACTAGTAGAGAAACCTCCCCTGTTTTTCCTAGGTGGTTGTCAAAATGTCAAACTTCAGTTTCTTACCTTTTTTTTCCCCTGAAAACCTCCTTGCTAATGTGTTTGTTGTGGCTCCCTCTTATGAACTGGAGACTGGACTGCCAGTAATTCTTAGCAACACCTGTGTTAAACAGGCTTCCAACTTAGATGAAACAGCAGCAGAGCTGAGATATCTCTGTTAAAGAAGAAGACATATAGATAAGATTACTGTAACTCACCAGGGAAGATTACTGTTGAAGAGAAAAAATGAGTGTGAAACAGAAGGTAGAAATGAAGATCAGTGAACTCAATCTGATTAATATCCTCAGGAATGCTAAATGTGCTCAAAACCACCTAGTAGGTGTATCAGTCAACACATTGCGTTTTAGATATAATTTCTGTGTTCTAATGCATCCTGCTAGGTACTTTTGAAGACTGAGAGTGAATTAAATTTTTGCAGCTGTTACATGTAAAACTGCCCTGAAGCAATAAGACTGTTTTCTTCAAGGGATTTCATTTCCCCTTACGCCTTTTTTTTTTTATTTTTAGTAGTAATGTTGGTACTAGTCAAGCAACACCGAGTGACAAAGGCCTGGTTTGGAATCACATCATATGTCAGGCGACGCATGGTATTGCTGAACACATGGGTATTTGCCGTGATGTTTGTCACACAGTCCCGAGGCAGTGACATCGCGGGCTCTTTGTGTAGCTGAGAGATTCCAGGAGCAAAGCATGTCGCAGGCACAAGACAGTTAAAGGCGGCGGTCGCTGAGATACTCAACACTTGCATCTCCTCCTGAGCTCAGTGGAGTTTGAAGGTGTTCTGCTCCTAGAGGAAAAGATACCAGGCCCTAAGTAAATAAGTAGAAAGCAACACCTCAATTATGTTAATGCTTCTTTCCTTAAAAATTACTTCATCTGAATATTGCACCACCACTGTGATTTTAAAAAAAAAACAACACACAACTTTATCACTGGTTTCTGGAGACTAGGTATTACCTTCATGTTTTGACACGAACAGTAACGTAACAAAGCATGCAATACAATGGGAAGTGGTTTGGAATGAAAGGTATGATCTCATTGCAATGCGAGGAAGTTTCAAAGTAACCTCTTCCTAAACAGTCATGCATTGATAGTCCTTTTTAAGAGAACCTTTATTTCCTCTAAATGCTTTAAAATCCAGAGAGCAGCTTTAGTTACGCAGGTTTAGTTCTCACATTCTTGAATGTCAGAGTTCTGTACCATAACCTTACACTGCTCCTGCAAATGCATTTGTCTGACTTTTGCTGTAAAATCTGATTTGAGTTTAGGGGAGGAGCAGGGGGGTTAACTCACAGCATTGGCACAAGTGTATTCTTCTGCAACATACTTAGAAACTATCATTGTCCTTGTGGAGATTATGGAATTTTTTTTTTCTGGTCATCCCATGATCATTATGTTTTTAACTTTTCAACTGATTGATTGCAGCGGAGCTGGGAGAGTGTGAGCACCCAGAGCACACACCAGAACTCGTGTCTGAATTCAGGTTTGCACCAAACCAGACTGAAGCAATGGAATTTGACATTTTTCAGAAATGGAAAGAGGGTACCTGTGTGGGAGTGGTGTCTCTAGCAACAGGAGAGTTTTTTCTCTTCCAAAGTCAAATATGTCCACAAGAACCCCTTCAGCAGCCATAAAAACAGCAATTGTGTTTGTCACTTGAGAAGTATTGTAAGTAGCCCTCCCCCTCCCTAGAAATGGCAAGCAGTATTTTAGGGAAGGTTGGTTTGGCAAGTTTTCAATTTTTTTGTTTGTTTTTCTGTAGATGATTTCATAACAATTTAAGCAGTCTGATCTTTTTTCTGTTTGTGTTGGAAATCACTCTTTCTTTCCTTCTTTCACACATGCACACAAAGTTTTTGTGTTCAAGGTAGTAGCAAATGCTTTTTTCCTGTCTTTGTTAATAAGGATGGTACATTCTGGTGATGCTGTCTTACCTGAACTCTCATCCTTATTGGCAATTTTAGACCTTTTTCAATTTTTGTCTCTCTGATTTATTTCCATTTGGAGGGAAGAGGGTAAAAAAATAAGCTAAGCTTTGAAAGTCCATTTAGCGTCATTAAGATTGATAGCCCAAAGAAAAGGGATAGGGGGACAAATTTACAGCATTTAAAACAGACAAAAACGTCGTATGGTAAAGTATAAATGTATTTTATGTTCTTAGGGGAAAGAGCCCGGCGCAGGCTGAATTGTGCTACTTGAACAAAGCTAAATGGCTAGAAATGTATGGTGTAGATATGCATGTAGTTAAGGTAAGATCCGTGTTATACTTTATTACTGTGCGGTCAGAATGTTGAATGGAGATGCCATCTCGGGCGAAGCAGTTTCTGCTCAGGGAATTTCACTTAATTTAATATACTGCCAATTAATATGTTTAATTACCGATTTAGGTACTGACCAAAGACAGAAGAAAACAATAAAACAAACACTGAAACACCTTTCCTACCCCTTCCCCAGCTCAACTTCAGTCCCACACCTCTCCTCCCCTCTTCCTAGTGCCAGCTCCCCTTGTTTTCCCCGCGGGTTATGCTGAGTCCCTCCCAAGGCAGCCCACAGGGTTGGGGTCATCCGCACAACAGTTTCTTTGTGCTGCTTCCTGCTTCTCACTCGTTTTCCTCTGCTGACCTGTGCATCTTATTGCTCCGCTGCTGCTGCATGGGTCGCCCATGGACCACTGTCCCTCAGGGCCATCCCTGCCCCGGTAGGGTAGGGTAGGGGTCCTCTGCAGGCTGCAGTCCCCCAGGGCTGTCCCTGCCCCAGTGTGAGGCACCCATGGGCCATGGCCCCTCAGGGCTGTCCCTCCCCTGGCATGGGTCAATCCCTCAGGGGTGTCTCTGTTGTGGTGTGGGTTGCCCCTGGGCCACGGTCCCTCAGGAGTGCCTCCTCCTGCAGGGAGAGGCTCCTTCCAAGAGTGCATCTCCAGCCACGTCCCCCACAGTGTCCCTTTCCACATGCCTTTCCCCATGTACCTCAAATTTTTCCTTTTGTGTCTCCTTCCCCTGGCAGCTACTGCTTGCTCTTAAACACATGTCAGCCGAGCTGTGGGCTCCCCTGGCTGCAGTCTTGGTGTGAGGCCCATTTCCAGGGGCACCTGAGCCATCCGGGCCGGCACGTGGCCTCCTCCCACACAAGGCACCCTGCAGCCCCCTGTTGCCAAAACCTGCCAGTTTGCACCCAATACAGATGCATAGTCTTCTGCTCTGTAATGTTAAAAAAATATGCAAACCTTATTGTTTAGTTTAAAACCTATGGATTTCGACAGACTACTGTAGTAGGATTTACGCTACTAATGGCATATTGATTATTGATTCTGTGCTTGCTTACAGGGAAGAGACGGTTGTGAATATGCTCTTGGACTGACACCAACAGGCATATTGATCTTTGAAGGAGCTAACAAAATAGGCTTATTCTTTTGGTAATCTGTTTTTGCGTTATATTCCTTTCTGTTAAAATGCTGAAAACTTTCTCCTTTACATAATGGGGGGCCTTGACTATATTTTGTAATGTAGATTAAATTTACAAGGTTAAATCTGAGGGTAAATCAGCCTGGTTAGAAGTACCACTCTGAAATGTGAAATATTTTTTGAAAAATAGTCACATTTCCAGGAAATTATACTTTTATTACAAAACCTGAAGTGTTCCAGGATTGCAGATCACTCGTACGTTTTGGAGGATTCACTTAGATTACTAAATGCTATTGATTTGCTTTTTGCTTCTTGTGTTTAGGCCTAAAATCACAAAAATGGACTTTAAAAAGAGCAAACTAACGCTCGTGGTTGTAGAAGATGATGAACAGGTAACTTTTCTTCCCTTACTTGGGCCTGATCCAACAAAGTGTGGTGTGTGCTCAGGCCGGTGAGAACACAAGGGAGGCTCAGCACACTGTTGGCCCAGGCTGTATTTCTCCTGCCAAGGACAGTAACTAATATCATGCATGCCAACTTCCAAAGCTTTTGTTTCTGCATTTAGGGCAGAGAGCAAGAGCACACATTTGTTTTCCGGTTAGACAGTGCCAAAACGTGCAAACATTTGTGGAAGTGTGCAGTGGAGCACCATGCTTTCTTCAGATTGCGAGCCCCAGCAAATAGTAAATCTAGTAGATCCGACTTCATAAGGCTGGGATCACGCTTCAGATTCAGGTATTTAGCGAAGCAACAGCAATATATTTGTGTTTATGCAAAGGAGCAGGTACAGCATCCAGCAAAAGGCAGTAGTTAACTTTATTTATTTCTGTATTTTAAGCGGGCGGACAGAGTATCAAGCAACACATGGGACAAGATTACGTAGAACTAGTACATTTGAAAGAAGGCCCAGCAAGCGATACCCTTCTCGAAGGCATTCGACTTTTAAGGGTAAGTGTTTGTACATGTGTTCACTGAACCAGTCACGCAGGTGTCCTTTTAACTCATTACAACCAGAAAATCTGTACTACAGTATAAAAACATGTCAGACAACCTAAAAAATCAGAACATACGTGAGTTTTTTTCTCTGAAGTTGGAGTCCGTTGTTTGTAGCTACAGTTTTTAATCTCTGTCTACACTTAATTCTTCATCCCCTGTCTGTGGAGCAGGAGGTACCTGTGGCTTCTTCTGTTGCTCAGTTGAGGAAGGAAAAAAAGGTTGCATCATATTCAATGAGGGGAAGCATGTAATGTGTTCTCTGAGAAAGTCCATTTGTCATGTAGAGTGGGGCAGTGTCCAAAAGCCTCGCCAACTTGCTTATCTAGGCAGACAGTTTTAGGGTTATTGAGCAGTCTCATTATGCAGTTGTTGCTGTTTTGCTGACTGTAATGGCATGTTATTCACCTATCCAGACTCTGACCTTAACAGGCTTTCTCTGGGACTTGAAATGTGCCAAATTTGAATGGAATGACAAGGAATTGATTTCCCTTGTGGTTTTGTCATTCGTCCTTTAAAACTTAAACTGAGATTTTTAATCCTTATAGAAAAACCTAGGAAGGAGCACTGCAAGACAAACAACCCCCTCTAAATTCTGTATTACTTGAGGCTGGAGGTGTAGTTGCTGTATGGAGCAGGGTGAGCTGGCATTCCTTTAGGATGTCTTTGCATTCCTTTACAGTCCTAGAATATGAACCTCAGTTCCATGAAGAGTCCTTGTGGTATTATGGGGGCACTTCTATTTCTCGTGTACAATGGTGGGAAAAGGCTAGCAAGCCTGCATGCTTTCTGCAGGCTGTAATCTCCCCTCCCCCCCCCACCTTCCTTCATATATGTCAGGTTTTTACACAAATGCAAATTTCTTAAATTTGTGAGATGCTGTTATGTGATACATGAGAGTCAATTACATGGCAAGTGTGGATGATTTCATAAGTGGAAGAATAGATTATTTTAATTTTATTTTTACAATAACAGAATCTGTCAGACCTGCAGGTTATACCTTGTGTCTCAGTGCTTCTGTACTTTTATCTGTGAGATGGGGGGAGAAGAGAGAAAGTGTGGCTTATGCTCAGTTTAGTTCTCTGTGCATAGCAGCCAAGCAGAGCTGCCGTCATACCCAGATGATCTCCCTCCAGACAGGTCACCAGCTTGTTTGTTAAGTTAATGCAAAAGCTCCCTTAAGATTATTGTCTTCTACGCATCTCTTGGCAATTAAGACCTATACCTAGTTGCAGCCCACAAACGTTGGGTTCTGTCCTAGCTCAGTCTCTTTGAGACTTCTACAGTGTCTTGCTAAGTTTGTCATCCACTTTCTGCATTCAGTGCTACTGAAAAACATGCTGTTCATCAGGAAAAAGTAGTGATACATCCCGGTTATTTAGCTGCCTTCTTCCCTGTTCTTTCCAGCCTTTCCAAAGCACAAGCCAAGACCTTGTTGCTCAAGATTGCTCAGTGCCTTCCTGTATTCCCAACTGATGGGCTTTTTTGGCTGCCATCATTCACTGTAATAAGGCACGGGCCATTACCAGCTTCAGGAGTACTCTGGTTTCTGTAAGATGCAAAATTGCTGTGAGGGATAGCTTCTGATTTCCGAAGGACTCAATGGTATTGACGTGGTAGCTACAGCAAGGTGAGAAAAGTAGTGCTCTGGTTGGGCAGAACTCACTCTGCCAAAAGTCCTTCTGCTGTGACATTTGGGAAGAATACTCTCATCTCCTGTCATCTTTGATGGGCTTTGACTCTTGCAGAAAGAGAGGGAGGTTCGTGTCTGCCTCATATTTTGTATACTCACACAGGAATGCTGGAAAGCACAGGGCTGCACTTGCGATTCTGACGCGTTTGTGCAAATGTGCCTGGATGAGGATTCACTTAAGCTGTAGTGTAACATCCCAGTCATAGTAGCTGCAAAATGACTGATATTTCACATCTTGAGTTTTTTTCACCTGTCTTAAGGTTTTTTGTTTGTTTCTTTTTAAGCAAACAATCCTGTGAAAGCAGCACAACTGTGGTAAGTGACTGCCCAAGTTCTCTCTACCTCTCAGTTGCTGTTGTCAGACAAACAGGATTCTGAAGCCCATTTCTGCATTAGGATATGTTGAAACAAATTCTCTGGTGTGGGATGAATTGCTGTGGGATCTCTCATTATGCAGTACCAGATTCTTCTTGGGGGCTGCCTGTGAGACTAAGTGCTTCCTTTTTGTGTTTGAGATCAGACTAAAGTAAAGGATATTTCCTTTCTGCTCGCTGCTATTATGCTAACGTATCTACCATTATTTGTTCCCATTTCATAAATGTAAAATAAAGAAGAAAATTTTGCACCCCTGTTGCTTGCACCCTAATCGCTGTGGTGTATAACTGGAATAAAATATTGATGTCCTTAAGAACATGACTTCTACTTCACTGCAATACTTCCTTAAAGAGTAGAACCCTGAACTATAGGAAATCATGACATAGATATATTGATTACATAAAAGCTGATTTTTTTTCTCCCTTAGTGCTAAAAATACTCCTGAAGTCCATAACTACCAGGTAAGAGCGTAACAACTTGTTGAGCATAATATTGTTATTTTCTTATTTAGTGGTAAATATTTTTGCTCTCCATAATCAGTGCTGCTGGTTTCCTCCTCTTCCCTTACTCTGGGGTGAGATTCTCTGAGGCCGTTCAGAAATAAACAGCATCACATTGGGAGTTAAGGGGAAAGTGGAGGGACTCTTCTCTCTTTCTTCCCCTCTGATCTTGCATGCTCTGCAAGCTGAATACCAGGTTGAAACCTTTGGGACTGTGAATATGATGGACCCCAGGAGACTCCTCTGTGAGCAACGCTTTTGTCTAGAGCAGCTTCTCACATTGGATGATCCTTGACAACAAGCTCAAAGTTGCAGTTGCCTTCCCCATCACAACACTTAAGGAGTTCGTTGCTGGTCAAGTGTTTGTTGTGGGTTTTTTTTAAAACAAGCTGGTTTATACTCTTCAGGGAAAAACCTTACCCGGCTTTCATTTGTGATGCCAGCAGTCAGTGCTACTGAGAAAGCAAGCTGTGCTTTCATCCAAACTGAGTGTGTGCGTGAGAACTTAGTCTTAACACTTGTTCTCATTAAAAGCCTCACTAGTGATTTTGTTTCACTGTTTCTCCTCAAGATCTCATGGATATGAGAGAGAAATGCTGCCACCAAAGATAGGTGACCTCCTGAAGGCTGCTATTGTAATAGTAACCTTTCTCACTCTCCACCTTTGATTAAAGCTGACCTTCTTTTGATGTGCTTCCTATGAGAAGCACTAGGTGTGCCAGCTCATCTCTCAAACAGAAAAGCAGTTTTCTTTGCATTTTTCCCATGAGTGTGTCCTAATGAGCAAGCTCATCACCAAGAGGTCTCACGTATATGCTAAATGTCATGGGAGAAGGTCTGAAACAGTGGGGTTTCTAGGGCTCACAGGGATCATGTTCATCATGGCCCCAGGAAAACAGAAAGTTAAAGTTGATAGGGAGATTTTATGTGCTTTCATTAACCGGGTTCAATGTTTTCACTTGCAGCCACAGTATCATCCTAATATACATCCTCCTCAGCCACACTGGCATCCACATACACCTGTGAATGTAAGGTAAGCAATCTTCACTTTGTGGCAAAGATGATTACTTCTTCCTTTGTCTTAATCTGTTGGCATGGATGTATTGGGCGATTTTCTGCACATGAAAAGCAAACAGAAGTTAGAAATATGTGACATAGAGGCAGTATTAAATAACTTCAATTTAGATTTTGCTTTGGGATGTCCTAATGTCCATGATGAACATTTTTTTCAGGCTGATTTTTAGTTCAGAATTTGAATATAACTTCAGTGTATTTCTGTAGGGAGTATGTTGGATGGGAAGATGCTCGGTATTTTCAGTAAAACTAGTTGCAGTTTGATCATTATTTAATCTTTTAAGACAAAGAAGAAACTCACTTTAGAGTAAAGTTATGAGTGAGCAGATTCTTGCATTGTAGCACTTTTTTACTCTTTTGCAGAAATGTATGTGGGAAAATAACATGTGTGTGTAACAATGTATCAGGGACTTTCCAGATAATTAGCGAAGTCATTAACATCAAGTTTTAGAGAACCGTTTCATAAAAATATTCCTGTATGTGCTGTTGTGCTATCTTCTTGCATAATTTTTTATTTTGTAACTAGTAATGAGAGAAATTGAGTGAAAGGAAATTTTGGAAGAAATTCAGTCCAGGTTAAAACCAGCTTGGTGGAACACACAGTGGGGGCACGCACCTGCTGGTGGATATGTGTCTGTGCATGTACACATGACAAAAGTCAGCTGCTATTTTATCCTAATAATTTTATCCTAGTAATAAGACAAATAATTACTGTCTTGACAGAAAAATACCAATACATTTTTATCTCTATATTTTTACATCAGGTTAGGTAGACTTTGTTCTTAGTGTAGGCAGGCTCTGGAGATGCGGCTGAGCTTGAAATGGATGAAGAGACAATTTGGCCCAAGTTTGAGTCTGAGAGTGCAGGAAAAAGGCAAATATGTTTTTAGAAATATGAGGCAAAGAAGGAGACATACTCATTGTCACCTCAAAATTCTTAGCATACAGCCATAAAGCAGATACTAAATTTAGGCTAGAAATGGAAGACTGTTTAAATTGGGTAATGAACTTTGTCTGTACTTCATGGTCAAGATTCTTTCTGGGTTTAGGGGTTTACTTGTCCATTTTTTTGCATGTGATTTAAAAGGTACAATTTCACATTACAAAAGAATGATTGCCAAGAGAGGTTAATGATTTTATAAATCGTTTGAGGTTTTGCTGAAATTTTTCTAAAGGTTTCTTCACTGATGATACTAGTGTGTTGTGTTTTAAAGCCAAATAGTTCACCTTGGAGCAGAGTGATATTGAAATAAGCACAATAATATATTGTAGTGCGTGTAGGCAACCTCCCCCTTCAGCCCCTCTGCTGCCTGGGCAAAGATTAAGGTCAGTGAAATAGGAACAATGGCTTTTTTATAGCTAGGCTTCTAAGTCTAAAAAACATACTTAAAAGCTCAGTTGTGCAAGCTTGGTAGAAGAGGTGCTCAGAATTTTTGTCCCAGTCAGGTAGAAGCATTTACATCTGTGATTAAAGCAGAAGCTTCAAGTTACTCTAACGTGGAGTCAAAGTGGAAGAGTTGGACGTTGAACATCTTGGGGAGCTTAATTTGGGAAACCTTAATCCATCCAACTGTGAACTTGAGCTTTAAACCACAGATGCATAAAATTCTTTCTACTGGGCATGCAAGTCTAGAACGGGCCAAGGGCTGAAATGAAACTACCTGTGCAATACATGGTATATATGGGTTTTTGTTGAATAATTTGTGAAATAATATGTGGAATTGTGTCTCGGTCGTCTTAGTAAAATCATTTCAGTGAAATTATTTGTTTGCAGTTAACTTAATGTTCAGTCTTCTGAGAAAAGTCATTCCAGTTAACAGTTGTCATTACATAACTTTAGAATATCTCAAAAAAAAAAAAAAGCTAAAACCTAAATCTGCCTGTATTTCTGCTAGCATAAAAATATTACCAAAATAAAAAAAAGTGCAACTCCAGTTTGATAATAAGGGAATCTTAAATATTGTGGTTTCCTACATACTGTTCAAAATTTTCATTTATTTCTTTATGCCTCCCCCCCCGCAATGATTCAAGAGACACTGTAGGGGTGGTTGAGGTTAATATCTCTAAGCAGCAATAAGTAATAAACAAATATGGAAAAAATATTTTTCCTCATAGTACTTTCACGAGTTTCACTGCATAGTCGCAGAGAAAGACCTGTACTAGCTGTAGACTCAAGGTGTTTATCTTAACAAAATGCAGCTCTGTAACTTACAGGCTGCCTCTGTGTAATTAACTGCACCAGCCCTAAACACACCACAGCATTTATGGAAGGGAATTTTCATTCTTAATAGGATTGCCTTTCTAAATTTTTTAGGCCTTAGGGAAATGTTTTCATGAGCTCAACTTTTTGCGTGGTATGTTTTATTTTACTTGTTTGTTGCACACATTTAGTTTTCTTATAGCCTCCTCCTCCCTCCCCACCACCCCTCTGGGCAGCAAGAGCATTGGTGCACGATGCTGGTCTGTAACACTTGAAAACAAGAGAGGGTTTTTCATGACTGAGCTCTGTTTGGAAGCTTTTAGAAATCAGCTAAAAGATTCCCGGTTGCTTCAGTGGCTTCTGCATCAGACCTATAGGTCTGTCACCATTTCCTTCCCTGACTGACAGCTGCCCGTCACACCCTCTGCGTGCTTAGCGCTTGCTGGGTGAACTCATGTTACTGTGTAGGGCTCATAAGTTTGCTTCCATCTCTCACTAACCAATCACTGTGCAAATGGTACAGGCCACCCTATCATGATGACAGGCCATATTGGAAACCCCCCACAAGTGGAGAGGACAGCAATTTACGGTATATCCAGGAACAGAACCAGAAGAATTTAGGAGGCGTCCAAAGTATGGTGTACCAAGATAAACTCATGACGACTCTCTGAAAAGCAGTCATCTTCATTTCAGCTGCCATCTTAGACGATCATTGCATTCCGTGGTCCGTGTCTGTCTGCAGCGTGTTCAAAGTGTATCGTGCATAAAGTGTGTGTCTTTGTATGTACATCCATCCTTGTTTGGTGTCCATGGACATTCTTGGGAAAAGTATTTTCCGTATCTTTGTAAAAAATCTTCAGAAACCTTTCGTGAAAGCTGGTAAGAACTTTCAGTGCCCCAAGACGAGAAGTATTTCTGGGGATTTACGTTCTGCCACACTTTCAAATCTGTGACCCCTCTGCCTGCTGTTGAAGATCAACCATTTGTGCCTTAGTTATTTTTATTGTCTTGTTTCCTTTGAGTCAAATTAATAGATGAAGTTTGAGAAACTTTGGTTTTTAGTTGACATGCAGATAGGAGATCGGAGGGAGGAAAAAACAGAATTCACGCTGGCAATCAAAATGGCTTGTGGACCACCAACAAAGGGAGCCTACTGAGTTAGTCATAGGTTTGGGTGTCGTTTGCTTTTAAATTTTGTGTTCTGCA